CAGCCTCGCAGAAGCACTGCAGGCAGATAGGTCGAACCTGCCTGAAAATTATCAGTTAGATATCCTGTCCAAATTGAAACCTATGTTACATGGGCTAACAGAAGTTCTTGCAGGGGAGTCTGGGATTAACGCCTGTCCGACCGACTTACCAAAGTCGCAAAGATCGGTATCTGCATCAGTCACGCCTATTATAACGTCCAGCGGGAAATCAAAAAGCTGTCCGGCCATTCCCTCCTTCCATCAGGCCTCCCTAAACGACACAGCCTGTAGAACGGCCCATAATACACCTGAGTGCGAGAACCAACTGTCCGCGTTTTCTGCGAGGGGGACGCCTACGGCATACGAAGGTGTTGCCATTGACCGCACCAAGTCACCCGAAGCATATGTCATGGCAACAGAGGTATCAATAGTATCGGAAGAGTGTTCAGCGGAAATAACTGATCCAAACCTGATAGCAGCCATCACACCGTTGGCAATTGCTATTGTGGCAAGTGCATTAGACTTTTTGGTATTAGAAGATGTTGTTAAGAGCAAGCAGAGCGTTCAAGAGAAATATCAGCCCAGTCAAGGCCTACAGGACAGGACTCTTACACACGGCACATCACGTCTAACTTCCACACAAGCAAAGCAGCGATCTTTGGCCTCCCTGGGCACAACTGAAGAAATTCTGATCGTGGACGATGATTTTAGGGTGGACGAGGAGGAAGAGGAGACTCTGAAAGTTCACGGCATCATAGAATGCTCTAAGACAGATGCTGCACTCACCGGGGCCATCTCTATGCCCAGGCCGAAGGGAGTTGGCGGTGCACAGTTCAACCAGGGCTGGCTGCAGGATATTGGATTTGATGAAGACAGCACAATAGGTGGCCTGGACTGCTCCTGGTCAACCCTCGAATCGATAGGCATAATCTCCCTCACGACAAGACACAGTACAGCCCCTGTGACCACGATGAGCAGGGGGACCAATGACGATTCGCTATTGATTCAAGTAGAGCCGGCGTTGAGAAATTCGACCGAACACCTTAACAGGCCAACTGGCACGTCGGGGAGACTGCTCGGACAAACAGCAGGGTGCGTTGTAAATCCTTCAGCAGGCGCACAGGCTTCCAGCGTTGTCCGGTCTGACGATATTCTCTTCAACACTCTAATAGGTACTGGCAAGGAGAGTTCCCCTGTCAATTTGGCATATAGCCTAAACTTCGGCGTGCCAGGCAGCTACATGTCCCTACAGCAGAGCCCAACTGGGGCTCCAGTAAAGTACTCTCTAGACTCTGCGTTAGTAGCACGTGATCGGGCTTCTTATGAAACCCAACAGAGAGCGCCTGGTGTATCCGTTCTGACAGGCCCACAGCGTGAGCCCAGCACGAATCCTACAAATACTAAAATGACGTCTTTTTCTACGCCTTATGGGTCATCGAATGGTAGTCTCACAGCTGGAAGCCAGCCCATGCCTACGCCC